GAAAAAAAAAATTGCACTTTCACTTAATAAGTGTTTTAATACACGGTATATATACATGAAAATAACTATTTCTTCTTAATCATTTCTTAATTTTAAAGATAGCGTGAATTGTGATAAAAACAAACGAAATTTCTTGTAAACACGGTGCAAATGAAAATCAGAAAATCTTTTTTTTTTTAATTTTACATGTTAATGTAAGCCCGGGTGGACGGTGTGGCGAGTAACAGGATACGTGTCGGGAAAGCATCCCATGTGGGGGGATTCGCGTGAGGGGAAACGGGTCACGGCTGGCATTCTATTTTATAAATAGTTTCCATCCCTGCCTTATTTTACTTTTCAGCGGAAAACCTTGAAATTGGCCTGATATCTGTTGGGTGTGTGCCTTTGAATTCACTCCCGCCGGGTCTCACCTGGGTCTTGGGTTGACATATAGTCCAAACTCAGTTCATTGTCGGCACAACCGCAAGACAAAACTGCAGAAAGTATGCCAACACTCAAATATTTTGGCCCCTCGACGATGCGCCTGTCCGGATCCCCACCTAGGCGTCCCATCCAAAATTTGTTTTCAAATCCCAACAAAAGGAAGTAACCCCAGTGACAAATTGAGACGTTACTAAGACATTTTATTACCACACATAGTTAATCATTACATTTAATATTCTAGAAAAGTATGCACTTGGTCTCAATCATTAAAAACTTTTGACAATTCAAAGATCAAATATGTGTTACTAACGTTCATAATATCAATTTATCGTAATTTATATTTTTTTTTAAATTCATCAAGTGCAAACAACTTTGACATTATTATGTTTCATCAAATATAATTTAATATATCCACAACCACATTTTATTTAAATTGTAGACATAACAAAAGCATCTTTGTCATATTTATTTTTATTATTATTTTTTTAGTACCGTAATGCTACGAAATTTTTCTAATTTTAGTTATTTGTCTGCCATCAGTTGCGGACAAGCGCTCTCTCTCTCTCTCTCTCTCTCTCTCTCTCTCTCTCTCTCTCTCTCTGTGTCTCTCTCTCTCTCTCTCTCTCTCTGTGTCTCTCTCTCTCTCTGTCTCTCTCTCTCACTCTCACTCTCACTCTCTCTCACTCTCTCTCTCNTCTCTCTCTCTCTCTCTCTCTCTCTCTCTCTCTCTCTCTCTCTCTCTCTCTCTCTCTCTACCTCTATCTATCTATCTCTATTTCATTTCTATCTGTCTATCTGTTTGTCTATCTATCTACCTATCTATCTTTCTCTCTTTATGTCCCTCTCTCTTTTCTCTTTCTTTCTTTTCATCTCTCTCTTATTTTCATAAATATCTTTATATTGTATTAATTATGGTTAAAGGAAATAACATATCTGTTTTCCGGGTCCTAAGTTAACATTCCCAACGTATGAGATTGACCTTTCTGTATAATTTGGCGTTGTTCTTTACATGGAGGTAAAAACAATTGAAAACCTGACTTTAGCCTTGTTTTATTCATGCATATTCATTCAGGATTTCAAACATCTGGATAAAGTTGTAAAATAAACTTCGGACTCTTTTCCGTTTTCAAAGATTAATTCTCGCCGGTTTAACGGTTTTAAAAAAAACCAATATTGTTAATTTTGGCGTGAGTAGTGTTTGTATTTATTGTTTTAACGTGATTTTAATTTTCTACGTTTTTTATTAGAAAAATCGAGGTTTTTATTTATTTATTTATTTATACTTGGAGTATTATTTACTTTCTGTTTGTATAATGCATATATCATAGGCAAAAAAATCAAAATATATTTAATTATCTCTTACAATTAGACCATCCTCCATTGCTTGTTTTACAATATTTGCTCCGTATTAAAGGATTACAGATAAATAAAGCACAGATAAAATCTGCTACTTGTTTTTATAATTGGATTTTGTAAATAAATCTTGGAATTTATCCTTGAACCTCTTCTTTGTTAGTTTTTCTAAAAAGCTCTTTCTAACGTTCCGGTGGTTTGATTTTTTAAGTTGTACTATTTTTAAGTTTCAAATAGGCTTGAGTGATGGTTTTAAGTGATACATATTTGGGTAGAGTCATAACATTGTTGGAAGATGGAAGAAGTCAAGCGTTTGTGGCCACGGTGTCTAACATTCTCAGAACAACTGTCCGAAGGGTCTTCTATTACTACCATGATACTGGAGGTTGCTCGAGACAGCATGGATCAGGTCAAAGAGATGAACGTTGCATGTTTCGAATGTACTCCGTAATCGATATTCTACCGCCGTTGAGATCAAGCAATAATTTAGAAATGTTAAAAAGCAAAGACTTTCAGAAGCTGGATTACGTGCGAGAAGGCCTGCCACTGGTCCAAGCCTTCTGACAAGGTACAGAACAGTTCGGTTGTTTCGCAAGAATAATTGGTCTGGGCAAGATTGGACTAAAATTTTATTTTCTGATGAGTCAAGGTTTTGTTTGAGGTCTTGTGACGGCCGAGACAGGGTATGGAAAAAAACAGAGAGCGATATACGTCCGAAACATTCTCACTCCGGAGAGGTTATGGGGGGGGGAGTGATGTTATGTTTTGGCCAGGCATTTCTATGGAAGGTGGCACAACCCTGATCTTCATCGAGGGTTCCCTAACAGCTACGCCAACACTTGAAGATGTGTTATCAGAAGAAATTGTTCCTTAAACGCCACTTATTGGGGACGGTTTCATTTTTATGCATGACAATGCAAAGCCCCACACTCCTAGGAATGATGACTGCCTGGAACACCCTTCAATTAAATGTTTGGAGTGGGTAGCATATAGTCCCGACTGCCCCTATTGAACACCTTTGGGACGAGTTGTCAAAGAGGGTAATAAGTCGCCCCGTGATGCCAGGTTATGTACAGGAATTAAGAATGACGCTGTTGAAGGAGTATGAAAATATTCCAAGTACATATTCAAACTCATAAAACCGATGCCACGTCGAGCGCAAGCGATGATCAACGCAAGAGGAGTGAATACTCGGTACTGAATTGAATATTTTCTTTGTTGTTTCCTTACCAACTTTTTTGGTAACATTGCTTTATCCAGTTTAATTTTTTTATTTAGTTATATCTTTACATTTTTTTACAACATCCAATCATTAACAACAACAAAAATTATAACGATTGAAAATAAATTAAATAAACGAGGATGACCACTTTTTCCTCTCAGAGTAATTTATATTATTAACAAACGTTCGGCCCAATAATGATGGGACTGGAAAAATAAATTGCATGTTGAGCTTTATTCAGCTGACTCCATTTTAAAAAAAGAGAGAAAAAGCAACTGACAGGAAGCCTGTGAACTGTGAAAACAGTTTGTTAATTGAATCATTCTAAAATCGCCGGCCGACGGAAAAATTTCCAAAAAAAGGGGTAAAATAACTGCGCTGATATAATCGGAACATAGCTTTTGTCCTTTCCACGCTTTTACGACAGGGTTGAAGATCAGAATGGGGTGCAATTTGTATTCAACCTTTATAATTTGTGATCAAACTGCAGACTCGCTGGTGTGAATTAAATTGAGCAATTATGCACTCGAAAATTGACGGAATCTATTAACTCTTAATATAAACTTTAGCTATTAGTAACAACAACAAAAGTTAAATTTCTTTCAAAACTTAACTTATAATCCGTTCCCAATTTTTCTGTCAATTTTGTTTATTATTAATCACTTTTCCAATGCAGCAAATGGAGAAGCAATGTTCTACGATACCGTTTTGCGCCAATCCAAACACAAAGCACTTGTCGACTTACAAACGAACTTGTTTCGCCCGTGTTGTGCGAATCTTCACTTACACGAGCTGTAGAAATTGAAAAGTTCAGTCAGAAAAGTTCCGCGCGTGCTCAACTTCCAACGTCGTGTGGAAACATGCCGGTTGCTCCTTAAGATTTTAAATGATGACGTTTCATCAAACCTGCCACAAAAAATTGATTCATCCGTGGACAAATCGTGAAAAGTTGCTCTTAATGTTTGCTATACATCTACCACCTTTCGTAAAAACTACCAACTTGGATTTGACGAGGGTGACAGTTAAATACTCTAAGAGTCTTCTAACATTCTATATTCCATAAGCCCATCTATAGCGTCCGTAAGATGGACTGAGTCGATCTTCTAAAAATTTTTAGAAGCCTGTAAAACAATCTTATATACGTCAATGTGAAGACATATTTAAAATTGTTTAGCCCTGATGATGACCATAAAATAGGTCGAAAGCTTGCCAGTAAAAACTGAATTTGCTTTTTCATTCAAGACCGTACATTGAACCAGAGTTTCGTGAGTTAAAAAGTGGTCGATACTTCTAACACTGAAAATATTTTATATTCCTCTTTAACTTACATGATTGTCGGCTAAAAACAAAACATCATCAGTTTTGACTTTAGCCTTTAGTTTTAACCTTACTGTTGTACTGCTGCAAACCGGAACACCACTTTCAATTGCAGAGGTCATTATGAAGTGAATGATGAAATGAAAAGTGTGAATTGAGAAAAGGATAGGGCTTAAAACTAACTCCCTAAATTAAGTACAAAAGGTTAAATACTTCTCTTGGTTTCAATCTAGAGGAGAAAGACACAACAGTACCTCTGCAACTGCCTTGCAACATCAAGGAAAATGGTATGGTCCCGGGAAAAGCCATTCGTGAGCAATGTATACTTTAATGTCAGACCCCTAAGAAGATTCTGTACTTCAGTAAAGAAATGGAAATCTTCCAGGAAATCCATGAACAGAGGTCTGACGCAAGAACGCATTTTCAGGATTTTTCTTGATATAGGGTTGTTATAATTGTGTCAGTGGATTTTTTAGTATTCCTTGTTATCTATAATAGTTGGTTGATGTAATATTCATTTTTTAACGAGGTGAAAACAGATTACTCTGAAAGGTAAAAATTGTTTCAAAGAGCATTATGATGGAGCGTATTCATTCCTACAAAAGCGTAGAGCCTATGTCCATTCATTTGCGACCTCTGCCCTTTCTCAATTAAAGAGGCGGAAAGTAATGACCGGGAGCTTGAAGTCAATTTGTTCGGCCCGCATCGGCCTCAGGACGGGACAGGGGTGCCATTCGGCTGGGTGAGATGTTCGACGATGGTGGTTGGAACTCCTCGTACATCCGGGGCTTCGACTACAAGCACACCAACACCGAGACGTACTACTTCACGTTCTACAGCGAATTCGGTGAACGAGGCGTGGCCGTGGTAGCAGAGGCAGTCGTCCTCTCCGTAACCCTGGTCGCGTCTATTGTCACCAACCTGGCTTTCATCGTTCCTCTCGTCAAAGGAAGGCATAGGACGGTGACCAATCATTTTCTTCTGAACCTCGGCTTCGCGGACATCCTCTTCGCCATCGGAATACCGGCTGTGGTCGTCGTCAGGATCAATCAAAAATGGCCACTTGGCGACCTCATCTGCAGACTTCTTCCATACTCTCAAGTAAAATTTTAAAAACTTCAATTTTAAATTTTCTTGTCTAATTTTAAACAATAAATGACTTATTGACGCGTTTCTAAGTTGTTGTGTTCTAAATAGTCAATAAAATACTTTCTTCAAGCATATTCAGACAGCAAATGACTTGAAATAATCTATCTTTAAAAGAAATGTGAATTTGTAATGAAAATGTAAAGTTAATATTAAAACACGACGTTAATATTGGGTTGTCCGGAAAATAATGCAGGATTTTGGTATTAAACAAAAAAAAAGAAACTAGTTACTTTAAAGCAATGTTCTTTAATCAAAATAATTTCCCATACNCCTGTAAACGTAAACAGAATATTTTATATAGATTTTTTTTAATGAAAACTTAAAATCCTGCATTATTTTCCGGACAACCCAATAATTAACCTCTAGATTAAAAAAATCTTTGTTAAAAATTTACAAATAATTCTTTTTCAAATCCTTCGTGTTTTTATAACAAGAATCTGTAATAATAGAAAACAGACACACAGGTAATTCACCCAAATAAACCATCTATGATCAGCCCTGCTTTTTTGTCTTTGTTAATTTTTAAAATCGAATATTATTATTGAGTAGTAAATAAATACTGCAATAATAACCATTAAAAACCGTCTGGGTGATAATGCAGTTTTATATTGACAATGTCTTTTATCTTTTTTTCATCTTGTTGTATATTAAACATTAACAAAGAGGTATTTCAATTCAAAAAACCTCAAAGTATTTCTCACTTCAAAGTAGTTGAAATAAAAATAAATATTTTCGGGGTGAATCGCTTATGTTAGAAGGATAATTAATATATAAACGTCAATATACAATTGTTTACTATTCATTCCCATCGTAATAAAATGTACACAGAGTTCAGTTTATTTTATTTTTTTTTATCTAGTCTACTTTTCACTTTTTGATTTTCAGTAACAATGCCAATAAACCTTAGAATAGAATTGAAAATATTTTAATAAATGGCCCACAGTCTTTTAATATAAATATCTCCGGAAATACGCAATCTAATTAATTGTTATTTAAAAAATATACAGGGTGTTCGGCTACTCGTGTTACAAACTTTGCCATTAGATTTCACATTCAAAATGGAACCAAAAAGTTCCAATTAACTATGGTCCGAATCTCAACAATTTAGGAGTTATTTCATTTTTCTGATTTTTTAAGATTTCACGACCTTACTTCAAATAAACAATGATAACTCGAAAACTAAAAGGTTTTTGATAAATCCGTTGATACAATGAAAAACTACGTTAAAATTCCAATAAGATGTGATCAAACTAAACTTGTAAACCTTCGTTAAATAAGCGTTTTATTAGCAAGAACTTTGAAAAATAAATTAGTTTTTTTTTTAGTTGAAAAACTTACTACGGTGATTCTCAACTACTATTTCCAAACCTAGAGACCAGCAAATTTCAGAAAAAGTACTCCATTTAATATCCTTTGTAGTGGTGCAATTGCTTTGTTAATTACTTTTTTCAAAGATGAAGAAATTTATGAAGGAAAAGAAAGAACCGTGGTTGAAGGTTGGTACGGTGAAAAGATTAATAATAATAAAAAATAAAAACTTAAGGAAATTTTGAATGAATTTATTAAACTTTTTTTAATTTGAATGTATTTTCGACGCGCTGCCGTTGCATTAAACTTGCAAAACCTGTACATAAGATGTATATCAGCGTATTCTTCATTAGAAAAAGTAGCCTTAATGTTAACCAGATAACACGTAGATAACTAACAATGTTTTGATTCTAAAAACTCTTTTATTCCGGAGAATAATAGTACAATAATTCTTTAATCAAAGATGCAGTTGTGTTGGTAAATCAGTAAACACCGGCACTATTTCGGTTTTGAACCCAAATTGAAAAATAGTTTAATGATTTCATTCAAAATTTCCTTAAGTATTTTTTTAATTTTCCACCCTACTAATCCTTCAACCACGGTTTTTTATTTTCCTTGATCAATTTCTTCGTCTTTTAAAAAAGTAATTAAAGGTTTCTGGGTTTGGAAGTAGTAGTTTAGAATCATCATTGTAAGTTTTTCAACTTTGAAAAACAAATTTTTTTTCAAAGTTCTCGCAACTAAAACACTTATTTAACGAAGGTTTACAAATTTAGTATTGATTACATTTTATTGGAAATTTACCTTAGTATTGAGTGGTATCAACGGATTTGTCTAAAACCTTTTAGTTTTTGAGTTATCATTGTTTATTTGAAGCAAGGTCGTGAAATCTTAAAAAATCAGAAAAAGTGAAATAACTCCTAAACTGTTGAGATTAGGACAATTATTAATTTGGACTTTTTGGTACCATTTTGAATATGGAATCTACTGGCACAGTTGGTTACACGAGTAGCCGTACACCCTGTATAGTTAATAATGCAATATAATAATAATATTGCTGTGACATTTTAAAAATGTTTAGACCACTTATTTTAGATCCTTGGGGAAAAGGATGAGAGGTACCATATACACTGTTTTTTATTTAGATTGAACAAGTCAATTACGATTTTATGAAAGCATTTGAAAAGGTCCATAAAGCGTTAGATAAAACAAGGTCTTAACACACTAGTGTTCTCCATAGTTTTCTAAAAAAATTTTTAACCAAGAAAAAAAAAACTCAGTATTTTTTTATCATGAGCTTTACTTTCAAACATTTCAATAATTCCAGTCTTATTTAATTATTTTCTAATGGTAACCTTCATTTATCATATACGGATTCATCTATTTTATGGAATTTTATGAAAAATTGCCTAAACCATTTGAAAATCGGTTACAAAAATAACAAAGTAAATCAGATACTTAAAAAAATTTGAAACCATTTATTCGTTTTAATAAAATAATTTTTACAATGATTTCACAAAACTATCAAGATTTAACTGGTCCAAATTTTATTTTAGTATTAATAATTTATAATTAATTGATTAATGTATTGCTAATGAAAGCAATAATCTTGAACAGTTATTATACATAAATTTCTTTCAATTTTTGTTGTTTTTCTATTAATTGTTTTTACCTACTATAACTTAGCTATTGTTAAAATTCAAATAAATTGTTCTGACTTTATGTACAACCATTAATTAATAACTTAACAGAAATGAATTTTTCGTTTAAAGCCAATGGTGAAGTTTCTTTTGCAGTTTCTGATTTAACCTGTTATTTCTGCAACATCTAACGTTTTCGCCATTTTTTCATAAAAAGACTTATTGAATTGTCAAATGAAAATGTAGGTTACCATTTGAAAAATAAAAATATCATCAAATTTTTAAGAAATTGAAAAAAATAACTGTAAAAATTGCAATGATTGAAAATAGAGCTTATGGCGAGAAAAATCCTGGTAAAGTTTTTACTAGGGTGAATAATTTTTGAGAAAACAGAGAGAACACTAGTTAGCTGAAACCCTGTATAAGTAACATTGATGAACTGATGTTCAAATGGTTTTCGCCATTTTTCATAAAATTTCATTTTTTAATTTAAAAGACTGTCATTATTGCAATGTTTGAACGTTTGGCTAAAAGAAATATGTTCAGTTTTTTCTAGGTTGAGTAGTTTACGTTTCTTGCGTTTCAACACCTTTTGCCGGTGTTCAGTAAAGTTTATATAATTGTCAACCTTGTTTTTATTTATTCTCGCATGGTCCTTATGAAAATATTTCAAATTTTGTCTGAAAATTTATAGAATATTTTCCTAGTTTCTAACTTTTTTTACAGCAAAATGAGGAGAGTTTCCCCTTTGACTTTTGCCTCTTATAATCCACGCGACGATGACTAACCCATCAATTACCAAGGATATGAAAGCACCTCATCGACTCCCAAGGGCTTTATTGTGTACTAAAAAACTACCTCGTAAACTGGGTTCAAATGGGTATTTTTTACTCCGAGCATCTAGTAATTCCTCCTCTAAGGTTAAAACGAAAGATAAAGTGCTGTCGAATCTATGAAAGCAGAAATCCTAGGAATAACGTTTATTTATGTAAATAAAGCATTTCATGTATTAATATATAAATTTCCTGGTAAGATTAATCATCACCTCTACTCGTACATTGACATATCCATGGAAAATATAACTTTTTATATTTCTTAAACCATGAAGCACAACTGAACACTTTTTAGAAAATTTACTTTATTGGAAACTTAAGTTTGTTGTTATTACAATTAATTAAGGTCTTTAGTTGAGATGAAAAAAGCTAATGGCACGAGCGGGATTCGAACCCACGATCTTCGATGTGAAAAATGGCAAAAAGAAGGGAAAACTCATAAGGTGGGGTTGAGATAGGAAGTTGATGTCCGAGTGGATCGAGGTCACGATAGCTCAGGAGCAGCGGCGTATCTAGCCGAAGATCGTGGGTTCGAATCCCTCTCGTGCCATTAGCTTTTTTTCATCTCAACTAACTTAATTAATTGTAATGTATTAATTGGTAAAGCGGACCACGAAATTAGTGAATTTGTTGTTATTGCTTACAAATTATGCATGAGCGAGCTTATTAAAACATTCAATGGATGTGCAGACTCCTGATCATCTTTATTACAGTAAACAATATTGCATTGGAAAAAAAAATGTATATATATATATATATATATATATATATATATATATAGAGAGAGAGAGAGAGAGAGAGAGAGAGAGAGATAGACAGGGTGACTGGCGATAAGTGTCCAAAATTTCAGGTGTTTCTACTCACCATATGCAACAAAAAACTTCGTATAAACCCCTGTCCACCTTTTTTCCAGGTTTTGGGTGTTTTTAATTTTTCGACTTAGGTCCATTAAATTGTTTATAAACTTCAGAATTACTGACTATAGAAAAATCTGGTTTGTCTCACCTGAAAGAACTCGCACCTTCCAACAATTTCATCAGAGGCTGAGGGAAACTGGTTCTTTCACTCGAAGAACGAGGGAAGACAATCAGTAAATTGATGTAGATGAGGAAATTTTGCATTCTGTTAGTCGTGATCCCGAAACCAGTATACATGCGTGATCTATAGACCTTAGTGTTTCATAATGGAGAAGTTGAGATACCTTCCGTCGGGAACCATTTTACGAGAGTTAATGACGTAGGTGAGGAAAAAAACTCACTGCTGGTGTTCGCTCCAAACTTTGCACCCTCTTTCCTCAAATGAAAGAACCAGTTTCTTCAGCCTCTGATGAAGTCATTGGAAGGTGCGATCTGCTGGAACATCTCAATGAGGAAAACGAGCTTGGTATTCTCCCCTTGCAGCAGCACCATTACCGTTGCAGTAACCGTAAATGAAAAGAGCCAGACGGATTTCCTGAAAAAAGTGAACGTGTGCCCCTTCATAGACACCGGTTTTTTTCAACAAAATACAAAATTTTGGGGCTTTCCAGAAGCGCAATCCAAAAAGGTCGGTATACCGCTGGAAGCTAATTGAATGGAGAACTTTTGAGGGTATTTGCAAAGCTCCAGGAGTTTGTAGCTAATAACAATTACTAATCCAACATTTTCAAAAAATTCCAAATTTCAACGTTTTTGTTTTTTCTGAATTTTTTGTGCAGAATTTTTTCATCAATTCTGCAATGTAAATAGGTTTCCTTACAGAAAATTTAACGTTCTCTCAGGTGGCACAAACCAGATATTTCTACAGTCAGTAATTCTGAAGTTTATAAACAATTTAATGGACCTAAGTCGAAAAATTAAAAAACACCCACAATCTGAAATTACTTCTTTACCGTTGAGATTTGGACAGGGGTTTATAGGACGTGAGGAAGTGTTTTGTTGCATATGGTGAGAAGGAACACCTGACATTATCGACACTTATCGCCAGTCATATCATATATATATATATATATATATACACATCCATTTCGACCACCTAGAACAAATTACAATATTGTTTATTTGTTTCAGCTTGTATGTGGTTTCATGGTGTTGTGGAGTTTAACGTTTGTCAGTATCGAGAGATATAGATGCCTTACGCTCGATCCTCAGCTAAGAATCACCTCCAATACAGCAAAGTTATTAATAGCAATATTGTGGATATTTGCCCTTGCTCTATTCTCCCCAATTACATTTTGGGTACGTTTCTATAAAATTAATTAATATTATTTTTCTAATTGTGTTTCTTATAAATAATTTTAAATTTTTGTAGAAGGATTGTTTTAATGACATATTTTACAGTATTTTTTGTGTGAAGTTTAGACACGAGGAAAGCCTTAATATATGCACATTGAGGTTTCCGAAGGCAGGAATCAAAATATCGCTCTTTTTCACCATCATAACAACCCTTTTCACCTGCATAATTCCTATATGCATTTTGGTGTTCAACTATCACAGGATATTTATGAAGATGGTTGAAAACAGACAAAGATGGGAATTGCCTACTGTGCTCAATTCGAGTTTGTCGCGACAAGAAGAAGTTGTCATTTCATATTTATAATCAGTGTTTATATCGTTTATTATATGATTAAATGTTTTAGGCCAGAGTACGAAAGCACATTCGCATCATGCGAGTTGCATTGTTCAACATGCTTGTCGTCCTTGCAATGTGGCTACCGATAACCGTTGTCCTCTGCCTCATCTATGTAGACGGTGACCGTCCTTTGTCGGACAACAGTTTTTTCCTGAGGTCACATCATTTCATATATTCACTCACTTTGGCATTGGTGAACACAGCAGTTAACCCATTCTTGTCAGGTGTCATCAGATTCACCTGCTCAGCGGATCAATCCCAAGGGATTTCAAAACTTCTAAGACTTGCATCATCATTTAACTGATTGTAATGTATACAATAAATATATTGTTAATTATCTTGTGCTTCTTGTTTGTTTTGTGTTCACTCTTTTAAACACTTCTCAAAGTGAAATAAAGAAATGAAGTTCTTCAGGATGGCCTGTCAATACTTGATGATTCCATAAACATTAATTTATTAATTTCATTATTAATTTATTTTTTATTAATGATTCCTTTAATTTGTATATTTGGGCTTTTTAAAAGTGTAATACCAAATAAAATTGGCTTTCACCAAAGGACACTTTATTTACATTTTTTATTTGGTGAGTTTACACAGGAAATACATGTTTTATAGCATAATTATCACGATTTATTACTCGAAATATTATGTATTCACAGTGATGAAGACGTAAGATTAGAGCATGTTCTGACGTTTAACGTTTACCTAGATTTTATTACTTTGTACACGTCTAATAAAACTGAAATAAAGATAACAGCTCAAAGAAATGAGTTTTATGTTTTTACCAATTTAGTCGTAATTTTGTTAGTTGTTGTTTTTTGCAGGTTTGTCCATTTGAACATAGATTGGAAAGAGAAAAAAACATGAAGCTGAGGTTGTACAATGAGAATAATGGATATACGGGAAAGAAGACTCCGGTCCAGATGTAAAAAGCCAGAGGCAAGAATAATCCGATAAACGTCTTCAGGGAATTAAGCAAGAACCAGTTGATGATGATGGAAGCCGAACATTCGATAGTTGTGACGGAAAGTGATCAAGAAATCTCATCTTCCAATTCGTTGTTTGCAAAAATTATGCACATCGAAGCTATAAAATGTAATTCGCGATCCAGAATTTCCCTACGGAAATAACATTAGCTGCATATGTCTAGCGTTTAATTCAAAATTCGTACACTGTATAAAATTTTCTATAAAAATGAAGGCAATGTCTGAACCTTATCGGCCATGTAATATATATATATNTGAGAATCGGACCATGGACAATATGAACTTTTTTGTTCATTTTAGGGTGAAGAATCTACTGGAGAAGTTTGTAGCACGAGTAGCAATTCACCCTGTATATCGATAGTTGCAATTATGTAAATACAAGAATTAGTTTCGTATCTGGTTACGAAACCCAATTTTATCTTGGATTTTTCTGATTTCTATTAACGCACTTATACTTTCTCTAACGTGGGAAACCATAATCACCATAAACCTATCATAATAAAGAAAGGTTTACTGAACACAAGGAAAAAACTTAATAGGATATAATATATAGAGTGTGAGAGAGAGTTATGATAATCTTTATTTACACTCCCAAAGTGAATTGTTAGAGGAAGAAAAGTAACACAGAGAGGCCGACAGAGGCAGAAAGACAGAGAAACAGAAAGTGGAAAAGAGAGGAAGAGAAAGTGAAAGTAGTATAGAGGGCGTATAAAAGAAATCAACGCACGGAAATACAATATAAAGATAAATGATAAACTGTACGAGAAGAAATCAAAACCCAGAGAGTAAGAGAGCGTGAGTCTTATATAGAAAGTAAACAAGAAAGAAAAAACCGTAGTAGCAGTTTGATTGTGAGACAGGCAGATAGAGATACAGAGTGATGGAGAGAAAAAGAGGAAAAAAGGATAAAGCTAGCAAGAAAGAAGAGAAAGAAAGACGGACAAAATCAGAGAGGGTGTCTAAAAGAAAGCAAGTAAGAGAGAGTAAGAGGAATTGTGATAGAAAGCCAGAAAATGAAAGACAGTGGGAAGAGTCAGAGGAGTAGATGAGAGAGAAAGACACATTATAAAAGAAAAATTGGTAATGTGACAGAACGAGTGAGATAGAGGGAGTATGAAAGAAAAGTAGAGAGGAAGGAAGAAGCGAGATGCCGAAACGAGCAGAGAAAGAAATATCACCTAGGTATAAACTTAGAGATTACAAAAACAGAGAGAGTGAGAGAGAGAGAAAACAGACAAAGTAAGTGTGAGAAACTGATAGATGAATAGTTACAGAGGAAAAAGGGCAAAAATATTATGGTCCATACTCATTATTACTGATTTAATTTGTGATGTGATTCTTCTAGCATTTAAAACAATATTCGCAAACTTACTGTTCACACGTATTGCACATCTACTTACAGCTCTATAAATAATCCTTAAAAATCCAGTTTCTACTACCGTGTAAATGGTTCTATTCTAAAATTACTCTATGACATAATATTACGAAATCAAGGTCAAAGCCATGGGCTTTTAATATTCGCATTACGTTTAGTCGAACAACAAGGGGATGGATGAACAACAATTAACGTAGTTTTCATTCTATGTAACAAAGTCTGTAAATTAGCATAGCAACGTTGTTAACGGTTTAACATTAACATATAGTCTCTGAGGACAGTGGCAAAGCCTGATTTTCAAACCTATAAGGACTACTGCTCATTTTATCACTGGTAAATGAAGTTTCCTATTTACTCCGGTATTTTTCAGCATTTCTTTTGACGATTTATTTTCTAAAAGATTCCTGATGAAAAGTGAATTTTAAAAAGTCTAAAAAACAGCATTCTACCAATGATGCTTCTCTGTGAAATTGCTTAAAAAACTGTCTTTTCTGGTCAACAAGACCGATATTATGAATGTTTTTCTCCGTGAAAGACGGAACATTAGTTACTTTTGTAGTATCACAAATTTGTTTAAATAAATAGCATTTTGGTTATGAAAGAAAGAAGGCTTTTAACAGTTTTTAGCTTTTAACAAAAAGAATTCTAAATGTGAGTTACATAGGTAGGGATGGTTAGGGTATATAGGTAGAAAAGCTTTGTGTAAATATACAAATTTACATATAAATTTTATTTTAAAACGGTTCACAAATAATTAATACAAAAGCAGGAAACGACGTTTGCTTAATTTGCCTAAAATTAATTCGAAATGTCTAGACTTTCAAGGATTTTCTTGGTTCGAGCTGTATATTGAACCCGTCGCTCCTTTTAAGGATAATATCGGCCTGCAGATCCCAGCGGTCTTCCAAGCAGCCTGGTTTCACGTGAAAATTTCTCAGAACTGTAGCCAAAATTGTTTTCAGCTTGAGCATTGCGTATTTGCGCCCTTAAGTCAAACAAATCCAGTATTATAATTAATTTGTCTTGATGTACCATAACTCTAAACTCACCGACGCAGCTCCTTGGGCCGGCACTGAACGGAATGAAGGCATAGAAGTGCCGTTTGGCGGATTTTTCCGGGAGAAAATTGTCCGGGTCGAAGTGGTTCGGATTCGGGTAGACGTCGTCACGTCGGTGCAGCTTGTACGGTACAATGCACACGGTACAATTGGCAGGGATCGTCAGGTTTTTCGATACTGAAACTGGCTTTTGTAAATCAACTTCGTAACCGAACCGACCAACTTACCTATTTTTAGCTCTTTTTTCATCTCCCTGGCTATCAGCGGCACTGGGGGGTAAAGCCGGAGGGTCTCCATGAGGCATCTCTCGAGATATTTCATTTCCATCGTGTCCTGGAAGGTGACATCTCGGTCTGAATCTCCAAATATGCTATACAACTCTTCCACGCATTTTTTCTTTTTAAAAAACAAGAAGAAGAAGGTTATGTCTTATTTCAAGCAATAATAATAATTTAACTATACTTGGATATCTGGTCTGGATGCCATGATACAAAAGAAGAAACTGCTTGCAGCTGCGGTCGTGTCGTGGCCCTTAAAAATATCAGGTTTGTTTAGGTTAGGTTTACATTTACGATTAGAGACGTGTCTTAGGTTAGCGTAGTATTAAAATAAGTTTCATACTAAAACATATGCTGAAAGATGTAGATAAAGCAAATATGGAGCCAAGACGGTTTCCTTAACCAAGGAGAAAAATGAAGGCAACAAATTAGGTTAGGGTAGGAAGGTTAGGACTAGGTTAGAGTTACGGTTAAGAATAGGGACGGGTTAGATGTTAACGGTTAGATGAGATTAGGTGTAGTTAGAGCGGATTAGAATTAGATTAGAGTAAAGTAAGGTAATAGAAAACCTCGCAGGCTAAAATGTAAGCTGAAAAATCTAGATAAAGCAAATCAGGAGCCAAGATGGTTCCATTAACCAAGGAAAAAGAAGAAGGAATCAAGATTAGGGTTACGGTTAAAATTAGGGTTAGTGCTTAACCGTAACCCTAAGACTTGTGTTTTATCGTACTAAATACCAAACCGTACATAATCGTTATTTATTTCAATTATACTAATAAAGTTGAGTTTGTTAAAATTTAAATACCTCGAACATAATGGTGTCCAGCTGCTCTTTGACTTCCTTGTCGGTGATGTCCATCTTGAACTGGGATCTCTCAATCATTGATTCCAAAAATGGTAACCTTTTTTTCTCTCCTTAAACAAAAAACATTCATCACTTTAATTGTTTTTTTAATTGTATTAATAAAATCTACCTATATCTAAGTCGACGTCCAAGTCGTCCCTGAGCCCAGAGGCTTGCCCGAAAGAAAAGCCTTTGGTAGTCTTGACTTCTTCGAACTCTGTATCTTCCACTGTGTCGCTTTTGACCCCGCTGAACACTTCTTCTTGTTTCTTCGTCAAGACCTGACAAAATCGATCATCAAAATAAATAAATTTTATAATTACCTGAAATATATTTGTCTGATACCATTGAAGTAAGGCCGTGAATTTTGCCGAGAAGAGCCTTCTGCACCATGCCGTATTTCGAGAAATAAAATAAGAATTTCGGCCTCAACCATACTTTGACCTGCCTCGAGTGGATAATGTCACAAAGCCTAATAAAAAATAGGATAATCAAAAAATAATAATTTATTATTTTGTTTTTTTACTTACTTCATAACAGCCATAGCGTAGTCGTAGCAGTTTCTGTTCTTCGTCTGGCTCTTAACGCCCATAACAGTCTCTACATCATAAAAACGTTAATTAAACATTATTTGATTTAAATTTGACGTGGTTACCTATCAAAGTTTCCACGGTACACTCGCTCATGTAGTCGTGGACATCGAACACGTTGTCGCCTTCCTCCTTCATCCTTCGCACAACGACCTTCGCGTTGTCGTTAAACCTTACCATAAACGATCTGAGGACGTTAAGATGGAAAGTTGGCGCAATTAAACGTCTGTGCGCTCTCCATTTTTCTCCTTCACAGAATAAGTTGTCAAATTAAGTAAGTGTTATGAAAATGTCACTGCTATGCACAAAATTGTCATAACGTGTTCTTCATTCTGTAAAACCAGCCCTCATATAAATGTCACCTTCGCTCTCAACCCTTTGTCTTGCTTGACAAACAGCCAACATCTGCCTTAATTTATTTCTTTTCTCTAAATAAAAGTAATTTTCTAAAAATTCAATTTCATCGAAGATGGAATGATGATAACCATATGGATGAGAACTGGTCACTAGCACTATGATAAATGTAAACAAATTAAATATCCTTGCCATATTCGACAGGTGGTACAATAATATATCTTGCCAATGCTTCAAAGGACATTTTGTATCATAAAATTTAAAAATTGTTTTATGTTGTCAGAAAAGAAATGATTCGTAATTACGCAAAATACAAAGTTCTAAAAGCATTTTTTTTAAATAAATAGTGCATTGAACACAGACAATAGTCGCTGGTTCTGTTTGTTCCTTACTTTTCGTAATTTTGTGAGGTTTGAATCTTTCAAAACATCTAGACTTTAATTGATGGACAACCCTTAATTTTTTTAAAACAGCATATTTCTATACCTAGGCGTTTCAACAGCTATAGATTTTGAAAAACTTAGAAAAAGGGACACGATTGACTGAATAACACACAGATTAACTACAGCAGTTGGCCAGACGCTGAAAAGCGTAGACATACGAAACCATTATTATACTATCCCAAACTATTAAAGTAATTTATTTTTTATATTTATTACCCTCAGGGTGCCGCTGTTTTTGAAAAAAAGCCCATTTGTAAATATGTCGGGTTCGAATGCAGGGCCGCTGGATTCGAACCCGGATTCGAACCTTTACCTTACAGTGATGAGCGCCGTGTCAACGCCTAAACCGTTGCGGCCACCGACGCCTCGAAGTAACTTATTCAAAAGTAAAATAAGTCCCGTAAGATAAAGCAAAAAGTATTAACCTGTACTTGTTAGAAGACCGTTTCCGAGCCAAGGCCTGAGAAAAGCGTATTCGGCCGACTTGTCAAGATGCTCGTGGCTGCTCAAAACCAGCTAAAAATTGCAAACAAAATAATATTTGTAAACAGTGTGAAAATAAGAAAATAAAGACTTACTTCGATATCAGCAGGATGGAACAAGAACACTATAAGCCTCGGACCTATCCAGAGTTTAGCCACATCCGTGTAAATGTCACCTTTGGCAACGAGGTTGTCAAATATTTCTAAACATGACAAACACGTTTATAAATTGTATAAAAATTGTTTATGTATGACATATTTATGCTTGTTCTGTGTATTCTTGATATTATATTTAATAAATTCCTTGATGAAAGGACATCACTTATGACTAACTGGACAGTAGAACATCTAAACTGTTTTTTTCCGTCAAAAATAATTTAAACCTCTCGTCAAATAAACTTTACTATTATTTATTGTTATTTATTGAAACTGTGATTAATTTAACGATTTGTTTCTTGGCTTTTCGTCTTCATTGCATTTAGACTGTAAAGCCATCTGCTTTTTGAAGTTTGGTGGAAATGGGTGAACAATATTCCAATTTATTTAAAAATTATATATAACTGATTTTATGACTTTGAATTTTTTAATAATACAGCTTGATATCCAACTTCCATATTCAAAGGTTTCTTGGAACGAGGTAAGAAAATTCCAAGGACAACGCTAGGAATCGAACCCAGGTCCTCTTCATTCATCAAACCGAGAAGCCCTAGCACAATGTAGTATTATAATTCATTTTTATAATTTATTATTAACATCAAAAGAATAGAGCTTAATTCTCAATTCGATCCAAAATTTTGTAAGACATGCTCCTTAAGGCTTAAGGAGGGATACAAAATATAATATTCTATAGCAAATTATTTTTATTACTAGTGTATTTATTTTAATAATTAATTTTTAGCCTCTACTTATCAATAAACGTTGACGTACTAACGAGCTTTGAAAATTTATCTGATAACTTTTGACTGGAAGTATTGGCGGAACTGCACAGTTCTACTCCGTATAACCAAAGTCGTTGCAGTAATGATTTGTGCAGCATTATTTGAGCTTTGAACTCAAAACACATTTTTGTCCTAAAAGTTTTTGTAGCTGTCTTAAGTTATTGCATCTTATGTCTTGAGGGGGGATTCCTCGACAGTCTGCTTTCTAGGTATAGTTCTGAGTATTTGACTTGAGTGGAAGTAGGTAGTCCTTTTTGTTGATGTGCTGTAGAGGTCAAGACTGTTATTTCAGTGTAAATGTAGCGTGTATATTTTTCCTCATTTAGCCTTTTCCTCCACTGTTGGCATCAGCCAGTGTTCTTGGATGTTGGAGGTTGCTTGGATAACTCGCGTAAAATACTGAATTGTGTGGTGTTTAGTGACCGTTAGCCAATGATTATTTGGTGATGGTGAGGTGCGGTGGCACTCTCATCACGACTCACAAGAATGACACATCTACACAGAAAACAAACACTTTGAGCCCTAAAGATGATCTCAATAAAGATCGAAACGTTGGCATGATAAAGAAAATGTTTTTCTAAAACATACGTCATACCAGACCGCACCTCATGATCTCCAAATAATACTGAATTGCCGTATCATCGGCATAGGTTGTAATGATGGTATTGGGATGTATAGTGATTGATCCATAAAAATTAAAGAAATAATCACATAATTACCTGATTGCCGTAATGCTCATTATTCATCTGTCCGAACCTCGTGAATTAAAACAAATCCATGTCGGAGAATTGAGCCTTGCTTATACCCTGACCAGCCCCTGAAGATGACGGAATGCCAAATTGATCGGATATGGCCAAACAGCAATAGTTCTTGTACCTTGATCGAATTAATAATTGCAAGACTCTTCTTTAAATAGTTTGCAATTGAAAAAGTCAAAATTTGCATCAAGCCTTGCCTCACCCTACTAAATACCTGACAACTGAAAAGGAGAGAAGGCGTTACGTGCCTATTAAACCAAAATGATCGGAAACGACCAAACTTAAAATTTCATATACTGAACTTGCCAATAGGACTAGATCAAAATGGTTAGGAACAGAATTAAAACACTTATAAAGTATTATTTAAATATGACCGTTGACGTCGGCCGTTCTCTAGAGTCTAGTGCGTGGTCCAAGAACGACGACGGGAAGGGTAAAAAATAGTATTATTTTTTCTTCTTTTCTTTTTATTTTCTGGAAGTGGCGATGATGGTAATGATGAACTCAACTACCTTTTTTCTTTCTATTCTTTTTAAGTCAATATTTCAATAAAAGGAATAAAAAGGAAAAAAATTTGTTGGGTTAATCATTATCCTCATTCTCATAGAAATATTATTTGTTCAAGGGTTGAGATTTAAGAGAGGATTAAAGACTTAGAAAGTAATACATTAATAAAAGAAGTTCAATTTTGAAGAAAACGAGGTCCCAAACAGCTGAATGAAAATGAATGATAAGCATCAAAAATCTTCAAGGATAGGCAGACCAGGATGACAGGTAACTATCAACCAATAGGTTTACCAACCCGCAGACCACAGGAGGAAATCTCACAAGTTAACAAAGGAAGCTTGAAAAAGCGATTATGACTTATGGTGAAACGAAAGAACACTGCCCTAGGATTTTAGAGAGACTAGGAAAGGTTGGTTTAAAAAAAGTATGCAAAAGAAAAATTAATAATGCTGTTGGAATTAAACATAATAACTAAGGAACATCAATATCTACAGCGCAAAAAGCCATAAAGTTCAAAATAAAATAAAAAAGTAAAATCTAACTTACTGTGTGGCGAACCGAGAAACTCAAGAGCGTTGCCGATTATCGGATATCCCGGAGGACCGGGTATCTTGTCCGCCAGTTCGTACAACCGGTTCCTTGACTCCGCCCAGCAAAAGTAGACTAGGAAGGCGGCAAACGGGATGAGGATGAGGGTCTCCACATCCTGGAATAAGCTCAACATTGTCGACCACATCCCGACTCCTTTTTGGACATAGGTTCACGGAAGAAGCTTATATCAAATTCACTAATTCGTGGTCCGCTTGACCAATTATCATATCAAATCCCCCACCAGTCTAATTTTCCCCCAAAAACTCATTCGTCTTGTTTTGTCAAATTTTCAACTATTTTTATATTATTCCAACCATAATCTTTTTTCTACTTTTCTCCATTGCTGGAATTGACTTAATTTCAAAATTTTTATTTCACCGATATTCTGCAGAAAATCTTGATAATATTGTAATTCTAATCACGAAAGATTATATCGATTAAATTAAGTATTAACTTATTTAATTGGTACAAAGAATCGTTCATCTCCTTGTCAATTGTTAAAATCTTCCTATTATTACAAATGTCTATCATGCTTAGTCTTCAAACTTCAAAGCAACTTCACTTGTAAGTCTGAAAAATTCACATGAGATAGTTATACACCAATTAAAAGAGTACATAACGGAAAAAGAATGTCTACAATCATAAAAAGGCCCAAGATCCTTATATTTATAAGAAGGAATCTTTACGTGGACATTTCAGACAAAGAATTGTATTTTGAACGTCTTCGATCATTCTGGTCTTCCTTTCTTGCTGGAATTCCATTCTGCTCTGTCAGAGGTGTTTCAGCAATCCGCACCCAATGTATTAGAAACTGTCATGTGTGGAAAGAATCTGGAACAGCAGATATTGCTTACCTACAATCACAAAATATAAAAAAGATCTCAAGAGCCAAAAAATTATTTCAACCAAGAAGTATTAAGTATTTAATGTAGCAACAAAAGAATTATGTTCTCCGATTATTCTCGTTTGACCGTTCTTGCTGTTTATGTCTGTCAAAGATGTTCCACAATTCACCCACCTCCGAGGATTGATCTGTATATTATATACAACTTACAATATAATAAAAAGTTCAGGTATGATAAAATCGGCGAGAATCACCTCAATTTTCCCAAATGATTTACAAACCGTCAACTGCTCTTACGTGTTTTCAGAATCTCGATCAGCGAACTTTGCTAACCTGCAATCCCAAGAAGGAACAAAAGGTCTCAAGAGCCAAAAATTGATTCTAACATAAAAGTATTAATTATCATAACGTTTGAGCCTAAGAACTGAAGTAATATGATGGTCTCCGATCATTCTGGACAGTTCATTCTTGCTGGACATGTTTGTCAGAAGTGTTCCAGCATCGCGCTGTCTCAAGTGGTTGGTCTGTGATATACTACCATCTGTGTCTGTCTGTAAAGATGCAGGCTCACCAACCGATGAGCATGGCAAAATGCTGAAACGGCTTTGACATACCAAAACGACGTGGATTAAGATTAAGGTAGGGTTAGAGTAGAGTCAAACAAAACAAAACTTGCCTGTAAACCTTTTAGTGAATCGTTACCTACAGTAAAGTATGGAAATTATAGTAGTTATTGATAAATTTATTAGTTGGCCCAACCAAGTTAAATAGATAAACTATTATTGTATGCTACATGCTTATAAGTTTTACGCGGTTAGGCGGACTAGTATGATGGAAGAAATTCATGCTCAATTTCAAGGCTCAACACAATCTCAAGAAGAGATTCTTAACAAAATCTGCTAGACTTATACAGAATTTACATCTGATGTTACAAACATCAAATATACAAGAGTAACAGATGAAGTAGAATTACAAACAAAATTAAACATTTTGTAGGATTTTGTTTTGTACAGCCGATAATAGTTTTTTTTATGTAAATGAAAGCGACCATATGTACATTCTAAAAAGCATTTAAATCGGCTAAAATATATTAACGAATTAGTGTGAAAATGGAGGTGAAGACATTGGACAAAGCGACATCGCCTCTGCATAAGACTATCAAGAGAAAGGACAGAAGGTTTCCAAACGTGTTTAATAACAAAGCAAAGCCTTCTAAAAGTGAGTAAACTTACTAATATCATTTTTCCGAACATTTTATCACTAACTTAACAATCAGATGACAAACATTACTTACCTGACAAGCCGGGTATGAGGAGTGTCGCCATACAGGACGACTTCATATTCAAGGAGGATAATCTCATACAAGAGAGGATGAACATGTACTTGTCACACGAACGGCGGATATCTGACGCTGAAATGGTAATGCAGTGTTTCAGGCAGATTTACCCGGAAGGGGAGAAGAGGCACAAGCGCTGTCCGCCTGCTTGAACCTTTTACTCATGTATTCTCAATCAATTATGAAAATAAAAACGTTACTTGTTGATTGCTTATTAACTACATGTATGAATCTGAATGCAGAGTAAATTCGCAAATCTTTGTCATCGATTTCGCATTATCAGGGAATGCAATTTGGTTAGTTTAGGTAAATATTAGGTTAGCGATAAGTTATGTCCCTTACAAATAAGGTTAGATTAAGTAAGGTTAGATTTAGAGTTAAGCAGGGTTAAGTAGGAATGGTTTAGGGTAAGGGGTGTGTTCGGTTTAGTACGGTTAGGTTAACAAGGTTTAAATTTACGATTACAGTCGGGATAATTTAGATAGGATTTGGATTTAGATTATGGTTAGGTTAGAGTAGAGTTAGGTAAAACAAAACGTTATATGAGATTTAAGTAACACAAAAAGTCATATGCTGGAAGATCTCCAGATAAAGCTAAACGAGAACCAAGATGGTTTAGGTTGTGTGCAGTTAGTATTAAGTAGAGTAGAGTCAAATAATAAAAATACCTCACAAGCTCAAATATATCCTTTAAGATCTAAATAAAGTTTATCAAGAACCAAGAAGGGTAGGTTAGTTAGGGTTAGGATTAAGTTATGTTAGGTTATGTTCGGTTATTGTTACGGTTACGATAAGCGACGGGTTAGGAAGTTAAGTTAGGTTAGGTAGGGTCGGGGTTAGAATTAGGGTTAGGTTAGAGTAGAGTTAGATAATACAAAAATGTCGTCTGCTAAAACATTTGCTGGAAGAGCGTTACGAGGAGGGCTTAACGCTCAACTGCCCGTTGGGTATCGCGGACGAGGGATCAAACCACATTACATTTCTCTTCATTTTGTAAATGACAAATCTTGAGTAAAACCATCATTTGCAAAATCCCAAAAAAATCGACATACTCATCCCTCTTTTATTATTTCCAATACTTTCTCTATATTATTCACAATTAAAAATCCATGCACTATGCCGGGATTCGAACCCAGGACCGCTAACATAGCAAATCGAGTCGGACGCCCTAACCAATCGGCCATAGCAGACCCCGGTAGATTAGAGGAGAAAGTTAGGTAAGGTTATGTAGGGTTAGAGACGGATTAAGTAATCTAGAGTTGGGATCAGGTGAGGTTACGTAAAATTAAGGTTGGTGTTAGGGACGGGCTACACTCTAAAACTACCTACTAAGCGATCCTATAAAGCCGAAATCAAATTTTACAAAAAAAAAAGAAAAAACTGCAGAACATCAAATATCTGCCCCCTCTGGACAAAACTGGATAAGTCTAATTTTCGCAAAATGAGCTAAGTGCATATTCTTGTGTCTTTGCCGTTTTACTGGCTTTTAACTTAAATAAATAATATTTTATTTTACATTAATGCAAAACCAGCTTGATTTATTTCTTCTGAACAAGTTAAGGAGCCAAAGCGAATAGAGAAACTGCAACAAAATTCAGTTTTAGATTAAAATCGAAAGAAGAAGATAAATAGTTATTTTAGATCAAGTAATTAAACATAAATTTTGTTGTCGAAATGGAAAATGATCAAAGAAAGCATAATAGTTTTTTAATGTGGAGTCTTCATTATGAAAATGTGTAAAATCTTGAACTTGAGAGAACCTCAAACCTGGGTGGCCTATGTAATTTACTCAAATTTTAAAATTCAATGCATTCAAATTTAACTGCTTATCTTAAAAATATTTTTTTAAGTCTGGTTTATTTACACAACGCTAGCTTTTAAAAAAATCGTTTGCGAAAAAATTGCTAACGGTGCACTATTTCGATTGCATGCTTATTGTTGGGTCAAATTTGACAACACCGAAATATTCCTTCTCGTGTGGTCTAAACGGTGCATTTCTCCACTTGTACTTGTTATTTCATTCGAAATTGCGATTGTGCTCATCATAGTACAGGATATTTCCTTTTTGCCAGTCGGTGTGTTACCCAAGTAAACTTGAAGAAACATTGACCAAGATTATATCATTTTTGGCTTATCAGGGATTTCCCGAAGAGTTTGAAAACATTCCATTGAACGGTCTCGGCCTTTCCATTTTCACAACTATGGAATTGTTTTATCGGCGCCCGATCGAATTTGATTGCCTTCGGCAACCACAAAATCGTCTTCTGGAAATGTTGACTACTATTAGAAGATAGACTAACGATTTTTTAAATGAAAATGTTGAATAATATACCGGGTTTTTTTTAAATTAACTGTAAACGGAGAGTCACTAACGATGTTTTCGTTTGGTGCAGGTCGGGGAATGGCTTAATTTATAAAATCTGATGAGTGAGCATATTTCAATCAATATCAGAAATCAATTGAAATCCCTGGCTTTGTCAATTTGCGAAAACTTTATGAAAGACTTTTTACAACCTAGCTTACGACCGACGAATTTATAATTATCGTTCATGATTGAACCTGTAAACCCATTTATTGAATCGTAACTCATAGTAATGTATGGCAATTATAGTTATTGGTAAACATGTTAGTTAACCCAAACAAGTTAAAAAGCAGATAAACTATTATTGTACGATTATGTGTTATTGTGTGCTATATGCTTATAAGTTTGGTTGCTCCGCTTGAAAACAACACGATTATAGTTTTTCCCTTTTGTGTGAATTTGTATTATATTTGTGACGATTTAGGTATTGTGACAAATGTATGTACGTTTCTAAAGAATCTAAAACTTTTTAAAAAACTTGAGATCCAGATCAACAAGCATCGATTTGTTTTGTTGACGAAAATTATTTATATATTTCATCCTGAAGTTGGTTTTCTAAATTATTTTAAAAAATTATAAAACCTGTAGTTTCATGTTAATAAACTCTGGTTTGTTTTTGTCCAACATTATTTACATATTCTATCCAGAACATATATTTCTAAAAAATTTTAAAAATATATTAAGAACGCAAAATCTGTAGTTCCATGTTTGTTTTTGTCCAACATTATTTACATATTGTATGGAGAACATATATTTCTAAAATTAAAAAAAAAATATATTGAGAACGCAAAAACCTGTATTTCATGTTAATGAAAATGGTTTTTTTTAACGTTATATTCTTTCCGGAAAGAAGATTTATAAAGTAAACTAGAGATATTTAGACCACACAAAAAATGTACTTCCATATTAATAAATATTGGTTTGTTATTTTTTCAAACATTAGTTACATACATTATGTTTAGTGGTCTGATTGACCAAATTACTTCTTTCAATTATTATTTTTTTTTTTTTTTTTTTTTTTTTTAACGTAAGGTCTTGGTTGAAATGAAAAGATGTCAAGGTTGAGATTGAAGTCACAGTAGCACAAGTGATTAGAGAAGGGGCGTATTGAACCGAAGGTCGTGTGTTCGAATCCCGCTCGTGACACTAATTTTCAATCTCAACCAAAAATCTTAGATAAAAAGAATAATTAATTGGATTTTTTTTCTACATGTTGGACACATAGCGGGCATTGACCCAAAAGTAAGTGTCCCTGTTTTAACATCGCATGACCTATTCTTAGACCGGGTGAGGATGAGTCCTCTTGGGCCTGGATGAAAGAAGCAACGCGCTCAGGAAATTAGTGCAAATAAAGTAGTCATAGCCCCATCATCTCGAATAACAATAATAAATAAAGCGAATAAACAATAATAAAGAGAATTTTAAAGTTTTACAGTTGGAAGGAATTTTACGTGGTTTTTAAATTGATTTCGTAGGTAGATATTCAGAAAACTATAAGAGCAGTGAAGCACAAAATCTCTTCAGTGACAAAGCACAAAAACCTTACCCGATTTATTACGACATTTTCACTATATCCTATTTATACAGATTAGTTTTTATTAACTGAATATATCTATTTTTTTAATTATACGCAAAGACTAAATGTTGAAATTAAAATTATGGTTTATTATGCAAACTACATTTGTGCATAAATAGAGATAATCAAGTTATTTGAAGGATTACTTTAATAACAATAACATAAGTATATACAGATAAATTAAATTTTCTTTAGTCAAGCCTTCGATTTTCTGGATTCGAGCTGTATTTTAAAGCCGTCGGACCTCTTGAGTATGATGTCGGCTTGGAGGACCCAATTTTTCGGGTCCAACCCTTTCTTCACTCTAAAATTCCTGAGCAAAGTTGACAGGAGCACTTTGAGCTTCAGCATCGCGTATTTCCTCCCTGTAATAGTATAAATCTATCAATTTAGAACGAAGTTCAAAGCTACCGTTTGACACGTACCGACGCAGCTTCTCGGGCCAGCGCTGAACGGGATGAAGGAGTAATAATGCCTTTGGGATGAGTTCTCTGGCAGGAAATTGTCCGGATTGAACTCCTCTGGGTCCTTGTAAATGTCTTCTCGCCTATGGAGCTTGAACGTACCGATGATGACCGTACAGTTGGCCGGTATCGAAAGATCTGTTGATGCTGCAACGAACAAAATAAAGACAATATGTAATAAAGCGATGCCATTTCTTCAAGCGATCTGCGGGTATGAACTGTAGTTTATTTTAATATGCAGTTTGGTCATCCTGGTCGGCCAATTTACATTTGTTTCGATAGTCTGATGAGTTTCGGCAAATCGCCATTTCAGTGGTTGGTAAATCGTGTCCTTTTTATAAGTAATAAGTATAGAGAACGTGACGGTTTTTGTTGGATTAAAACCGAATCAACCTCGCAGTGCACAGTGATAATTTGCTCTAATTTAGAGATAGTAATTTTAGAAAGCAAGTAATTGGTTAGAATTTATCTATATTTTTATTATCTCTTTCTACTTTTTCCAATACGTCATAAAGACATTTCATGACTCAAATATGTAGCAAAAATAGGCGGATCAGGATGACCAAAAACAGTAAATGATTCATGTCTAACTCATGGTCAAAATGAACATCACAAGTTTAAAAATTGACTATTATAGGTTTTCTATATTTGTAGTTTGGTTGTTTCCGATTTCTCTGGTTCGCCCATTCTCACTGGCTCATTGGCTGTCAGGCGCATTTCTGACCCTTTTAGAAGTTTGTCAAAATCTATAAATGTTACATTTATTATAACATGCTGACGCGCGTCAATACTAGCAAGAATAGACAACCCACAGGCTTTCAATTTAAGAAAGATGCTGTTTAATTTGCCCTTAGAAAAAGGTTGGATGTTTTAATGAACCAAAACTTTTCCAAATTACAAAAAAGTATAAAACATTTTTGTAAACAGAGCGAGAATAAACGGACCCTGATGGTTGGAGACGATCAAGCTAAAGGTTCATCACCTTGTGAAGAACTGCTCTTGTTTATATTTTAAAAGATTCGAACTTTAACAAATGAGGTGGATACAAGAGAAGGGAGATTAGGAGGACCAAGATGATAGAGTACCTAGCAAACTGATGGTTCAACGCCTCGCATCACAATTTAATAGAAATCTGCTGCTTATAAAAATAAAGATTTGTTTTTATTAAAAGCTTAGTATGAAATAACATAATAATAATATGTAACGAAAATCTCTAAACATTTTTTTTATAAGAGCATCATGCACTACAATTTATCGAAATTTGATAATAATCTGTTATTTATAAGCGTAAACTAGTTGTTTTAAAAGATGCGAACACTATCAAATTAGGAATAAACACGAAACTTTTTGTTTTGAAAAGCGAGAATCGGCGGACCGAGATGGGGACTGCCAAACTGAAAGTACAACACCTCGCATCACGATTTAATAGAAATCTGCTGCCTATAAAAATAAAGAATCGTTCTTATTAAAATCTTTGCATGAAATAACATTATCCTAATGAAAATAATAATAGTATGTAACGAATAAGCATAATTTTTTTAAGAGCTAAAATAGGCAAACCATGATGATTGGACACGATCAGACTACAGGTTTACCACCATGCAATTTATCCAAATTTGCTACTAAACTGCTAATTATAAACATTAACAATTGTTCTTATTAAAAGCTTAGATGTTTTAAAATAGGCGAAAATGATCAAATTAGGAATAAGTTACATATAACAGCAGCGAGAATAAGCTGACCAGGACGATCGGGAATGATGAAGTTACACGTTCATCACCTCGCAAACTTCACTACAAAGTTTCACAATTTAATAATAGCCATTAATAATAATAATAGTAATACTTCTATATACTTATTTCTTTTAAAAACTGCCTTCTTTTTTCAAAAGCTAGATGGACATTAATGAATGACTAATAAATGAATTTCTGATACCCTAAACCGAATATTTTTAACGCAAAACGAGCTTTTAAAAATTGACAAGATTTCCTACATCTAATTTCTCAAATAATATTATTCCTCAGTTATCTATATTTCTAGTGTACCAATTTAACTTGGCGTTTCTCCATGAATACAGCTGAAATATTTAATTTTTGTACGTTTAAAGTAATGCTTTTCATCGGGGTCAGTCTATCTACAGGTTCTACACTCAACTTCATATTTCTTAACTTTTAGCTTTAAAAAAACCGTTCTCTAAATTTTTTTCAGCGCTTCGAACTAAAATACAAATAAGTAATTTTCTAAGACCCCACTATATAGTAAAGTTGTGAACTGGTTCACATTTAAATTGATTATTCATCGATGTTTTGGGGTGAGAAATGTTTATTTAAAATCATCTATGATTAACTTATTTTTCTGTGTTGGTCTAGTATCATTCCCTCGCATCTGTACTAGCTAAAAGATTCAATTTACTCGTTCTACATTTAAAAAGATTTTTTTTTTAATTACTGGGTTATAAAGGTCCAATCGTCGCATTGTGTAGGATGTTTTTTATTTTCTATTTTTATGCATAGACACTTTGTCTTTATAAATAGTATAAAAAGTAGTTAATTTGGTCATTACCGATCATTTTGGTCTGCCTACCCTTGGTCAACGTAAAAGAAACGCGTCTGACAGACCGACCAAGCTAGGGTAGACCAAAATTTCAGGACCATCACCCAGAATAGCACACTGCGAAATCCGACAATTTAGTATATAAAAGCAAAAAATTGAAGAAGTGATAAAATTAAGCTTGCAAAAGAATAAAAAGTTAATAGTTTGGCCAATTACTAGAAGTAATTAGTACTGCAATATTTTTATGCTGAAAATATTATAGATACCTGTAGATTAAATAAATGTTTTACATAAATAAAATTTATATAGTTTTGGCGTTTTGATTTAAATTGTAGCCTAATCGGTTCCTGTTATTCTCATAACTAAAAGTTCAATTTTTAGCGTTCACTTATTAGCAGAACACATCTTTAAAATGCTCAAAGTTCAAAGGCTAATGCTATTCAGTGGTTCCAACTATTGTTCATGCCCGAATCTACGTTATATTACCTAGTTTAAGTTCTTCCTTCAACTCCCTTGCTATGGCGGGCACAGGAGGAAAAAGGCGCAAAGTTTCCATGATGCACCTCTCCAAATACTTCATTTCGAGGGTGTCCTGGAATGTGACGTCGCGGTCCGAATCACCGAAAATGCCGTCGATCTCGGCAATGCACTTTTCCTGCAAAAAGAAAAATTTGCAAAGACTCCTGGGAGAATCGGCGTTTGTACGAACTTACCTGAATATCCTGCCTTGCTGCCAGCATGCAAAGAAAGAAACTACTGCCTGCTGCCGTCGTGTCATGACCCTACCCGAAAAAAAAAAGAAACACATGATAAATCCGCACTCAGCGGTGATTTAGATCAATACTGACTTCGAACATAATCGTGTCCACTTGGTTTTGGATCTCTTCGTCTGTGAGAATAACACCGTTCTCAGAATTTTCAATAAGCAAGTCCAAAAACGGCAATCTCTTCTTTTCACCTAATAAAACGACAATTATTTTAAAACAATTCGAAAATAATAATAAATTACAAATCACCTATGTCTTGGTCTATGTCGTCTTTGATCGTTTTACTCGAACCGAAAGAAAAATCGCTCTTTTCGGTCGTTTTCAGATCTACTTCGTCGTCTTTCGTTACACCTTCAAAACTACCGCCGTTCCTCGTGTAGATGTCTTTCCTGATTTTTAACACCTAGAAATATCATTAAATTATGATTTTTTGTTTAATTTAGTTTTAGAAAACTTACTTTGCGCGTGAGACCGTGGATGACGCTTAGAAGCTTTTTCTGCATCCCATTGTACTTGGACAGCCAGAAAATAATTTCAGGCCTGTACCAAAGCTTCGTTTGCCTCAAGTGGAGGATATCGCACATCCTGAAACAGTTATTTGTTGAAATAAATAAATGTACGATCAGTTTGTAAATAAATTTGTTTTACAAAAGATGACCTACTTCATCACGGCCATTGCATAATCGTAACCACTTGATTGCATCTTCTTCGAAACTCCCATCACCGTTTCTAAAACAATAAATAAACAATAATAATTAATTTTGCACTCGGCCAAATATTTACAGTAAAGAACAATTACTCTTTCGATATTTCTTAAACATATTCCACAAAACATCCCGGTAAAATTACTTTTTTGAAAGCTAGAATTTCAAAAGTAAATTCAAGAAAAACGAGAAAGATAGGCATAGTTCATTCCGATTGACCTGATCTAAAGCGTGTCCTTTTTAGATGGCCCGACTCAAATTCTCTTGAACCAATGACCCTATAAAAATAATATTGTTTTAGTCGTTTCAAATTTTTACCTTTTTTGGAGAAAATTTATACAGGGTACCTCAGGCCCAGTTCAAATTCAAAATTTCAAATACGACCCTATACATCCTGATACATCATTTTAAAGGGATTTGTACGCTGAAATCGGTGGTGCGATCTGATTTTAAATTGATCAATAAATAACAAGTTATGGCAAAAAGTTTGAAAAACCTACCTCAAAAAATTAAGGAACTGAATACCTTTTAAATTATTTTCGTAGAAATAAGGCCCAATTAATTTATTTACGCCAAACGTTGATATGATGAACCATCTGATGGTGTCAAGAGTACAAAATTCTTGAATTTTCCTCTGCCCAGGAAATTTCTGAGAGTGCAACTCGACTGCGCTAAGCACCACTATCAATACAGCAGTCGTACATATCTATTTTGTTTTTTTAAGACGTTTCTTTTACTGGGTTTTGCATCAGGCATTAAGGCTGTTCATGTCATCAATAATCAGCCTTCGCAAAACCAGATAGGTAACTCGCTGTTGATCGGAAAAATGTGCTATTTTGAATGGAATACTGAATGTGACGAATAGGCACTATTGTAAAATTTCTTTACTTCCAGGAATTAAGATTTACTCTCAAAATGCAAATTAGACAAACAAAGACGGAATGTAAACAATAAAGGTAATTAATGTTTAATTTAGTGAAGAAGCAAATTAAGTGGGCACTCTCAACACGACACGCAAAGATGGCACAATTACACAGAAGACAAACACTTTGAGCCCTGAAGATGATCTCAATAAAAGATCGAAACGTTGGCACGATAAAGAAAATGTTTTTCTGAAACCTACGTCTCACCCGACCGCATCTCACGATTTCTGAATAATTATCGATTAACGGTCACTAATCTCTACACATTGTTTTCAACTTAAAACTTCCTTTAAAATGATGGGTCAGGATGTACAGGGCCGTATTTAAAATTTTGAAATTGGACTGGGCCTGAGGTACCCTGCATAATTTTTTTCCAAAAAAGGTAAAAATTTGATACTAGACTAAAAAATAACAAACACGTATTTTTTGATATCATCATTGATTCAAGAGAAATTCCGTCGGGCCATCGAAAAAGAACATCCGATCAGTGAGTTGTAGGTTTGGGTGTGAGTGGTGTTGTGTGGTTGAGAGTGTGTACGTGTATCTGTTTTTTTACCCATCCACATCCCTGCTGTACCTAAGAGAAACCATATCGAGAGACCACGACCGCTGCTACTAACGAGAGAACCAATCAAGGAAATGAATATATTCAATTGGTTCCCTTTGACTGTGTTTGTGTGAGAGTTTCCCATTTAAGTGTGTTGCCATTTTTGATTGACGGTCTGAAACAATCTCTCTCGCTCTCTCTCTCTCACTCTCTCTCTCTCTCTCTCTCTCTCTCTCTCTCTCTCTCTCTTTCTCTTTCTCTCTTTCTCTCTTCTCTCCCTCATTCTTACTCTCACTCTCTTTATCTACTCTCTATCTATCGCCCTCCCTCTTCTTCTGCGTTGGTTGTAAGAGAGGTCTAAGAGACCTAATTCGGCGTGGCTAAATAAAGCACTATCAATATCAATCAAGCATATATATCAATCAATCAATCCCTCTCTGCCTCTCTATGGCCTAGTACGCACTGGGATTCTTTGAGTCGATTCATGTTGCGGGGCAGAGTCGGGGCTACGTCGCAACAATGAATCTACGCAGTCCCGACTCTGCTCCGCGACAAAGAATCGTGTCCAGACCAAGATTCAGTTTACATTCATCAGTGCCTGCGAAAATGACGGAGGAACTAGCCCTTTCAGGAATTTCCCTTGCTCTTTTTTGCATTGTACGTAGTGAATCCAATCGCAGGTGCATTAAAAAACGCCCAAAAAGATGGTGGGTTCACAATATTTCAACACAAATATTTCACGGCGGGAATCAGCACGGGAAAAATCTTTTGAACACGCTGCGATTAAATGATGGCTCAGGGTTCAGAAATTTTTTGAGGATGTCCTCGACCGATTTCGAAACCATTTTAATGAAAGTTGGCGGTGAAATTTCCAAGAAAGATACCAACTTTCGGGAATCTATCTCTCCGGCCAACAGATTAGCTGCCACTCTCTGGTTCCTAGCGAGTGGAGACTCGTATACAAGCCTCATGTACACCTTCAGGATTTCAAAACAATCAATTTCGTTCCAGAAGTGTGCGAAGCCATCATTCATCGTTTGAGAGAATACATCAAGGTAAGTAAATAATTGCAAGCAAATAATCAAATATTTTTATGTTTGGAAATTATATACTGCTGTAGGTAAGTAATAAAAGTGTAGATAAACAGGTAAAAATATAACCCAATAATAAATCAAATTAACCCAAATCACAAAGAATCAAGTATGTTTCGAAAACTTTAGAACACTATTGAAAACTTTAGGTAATACACTGTCAAAATCTTCACAAAAACACTACATCAACTAAATAATTGAAACAAGAGCGCTTGTTCCGATTCACGTTTTGTCTTGAGTCAAAGAATCCCATATCGGATGGGATTCAAAAGAGTCCGAAAATTCTAGCCCGCAACACACCAGATTCATCGCAACAGTTAGTCAGGGCAGCCTGGTCTCAGGCTAGACGTAGCCGAGACTCTCCGGAGATTCAAAGAGTCGACTCAAATAATCCCAGTGCATACTAGGCCTATCACTCTCTCATTATCTTTCTACCTTTCAGTCACTCTCACTCTCTCTCTCTCTCACTCTCTCTCTCTCTCTCTCTCTCTCTCTCTCTCTCTCCTCTCGCTCTCCCGCTCTCTCTCCTCTCTCTCTCTCTCCCTCNTCTCTCTCTCTCTCTCTCTCTCTCTCTCTCTCTCTCTCTCTCTCTCTCTCCCTTTGTCTTTTCCCCTCTGTCTCTATCTTTATTTTTCTAAAATATGTATATTTCAATAGATCACTCCATTCACGGAATGAGACCCTTGGGTTGAGTTTCTTTGGTCACTTTGGTGGTCACAATCACTTTGACTAATGTAACAGTTTATGAGAAATACTTCTTTTAGTACAATATTATTTTGGAGGTAATGGACGATATGTCCATGTGGGCATTTTTTCAGGTGTCAAAGATGTGCTTGAATTTTTCAATAGTGTGACTGTCATTTATCCTCACCCAGCAAGATTTCCACGGTCGCTTCGCTCATGAAGTCGTGACAGTCGATCTCTTTGTCCACCTGGTCCTTCAGTCGTTCGACGACGGCCTTACTGTTCCTGTTGAAAAGGTTGAAGAATGATTTAAGTACATTCAGATGGAACGCAGGCGCGATTAACTTTCTATGGACACGCCATTTCTCTCCTGAAAAATAAAAATTAATTGTAAAATCAATTACGTTGGAATCACATGCTGCATTTTCAGACCTGTGCTAATAAGGAGCCCATTCCCAAGCCATGGTTGAAAAAACCTATATTCAGGCGATTTGTCGATGTGGTCGTGGCTACTCAAGATTAACTAGAATTATTAATTAATTTTAAATAATATCATTTAACATTATAATTTCATTATTGCTTATTAGGAGTTACGACAATTGATGTAGCTTTATTTAAAAAAAAATACTGATTATAAACTCGGTGAGCCTAAAAAGACTGTTGAAATTTACCCTCGGCCAATAAAGATTATCTTTTGTTATAATTCTAAATAAGTTTTTTTTAAATAACTAAAATGTTTAGAGATGAAGAGCTTGATAATTCCGATCATCCTGTTTTGCCAGCCCCCACATGTTTTGACTGATAGACGCGTTTCGGCATCTTCAGTGGTTCTGAATGTTTGTTGTTTTGTCTGTGTGTTGTTTTTCCATCTTTTTATACGTTATAGTAAAGAAAACAAATCGACATTTGATTGATTAAAACAGAATCAAACTACAGACTCACCACCTCACAATCTTTATTTTCCTCAATTGAGTAATGGTTAAATATGAACAAATTCTGATATCACCTTGTTCTATTTTGACCAAGCAGAATGATTGAAAACTTCGAAAATTATACGGGCCAGGATGATCGAAGAAGATCAAATGCCAGGTATGCCATAATGCTCAAACCAACACATCACACTTTATACGTATATGTAGTTTGGTAATTTCCGTAAATCCTGGTCCGCTCATACTCGCTGTTCAGGTCTGTCGTTTCGCCATTCGCCAATTTCAACGGTTGGTCCTATTACATGCATTGTGTCGTTTCTTTCTAAAGAGCCCATCAAAGGACAAAACGACAGAACATAGATACTTAATCCTCATATTTCACATTTTACGAAAATGCAAAAAGGCTATGGCTGACAATATAACCAACCCACTGATGATAGCGAATGCCGAAACGCGCCTGACACCAAAACAGATTCATCACCCTCCAGAACCCCCAAAAAAATTTTAAAATACTTTACGTCTTAGTAGATTTTATTGAATCCTTACAGTCTAATCCAAGAAAACAAAATTATGACAATAGGTAAATTACCTCTACATCGGCAGGATGAGTGAGGAAGACAAAAAGTCGCGGTCCGACCCACATCTTAACGACATTTTCATACTGCCTACTGAATTTCATCAAAGTCTCGAATATTGCTGAAATAAGAAATAATAATTATTATTATTTTAAATATGTGTTAGATTTACAAATAAGAGATTAAAGACTTTTCACAATGAAAGGCATTATAGAATGAAGGAAAACTTCGAAAGTGATACGGGCCAGGAAGATCAAATGACAAATGTCAGGTATGCCATAGTGGACAAACCAACACACAATGTCCTTTGGAAAAAGTTTTTGTTCATGAAATACTGACTCGTTTATTAAAATACTTTTTTTTTAATTTTTGATCCCATTTAGCACAATAAATTTGGATAGATTCTAGATAGATTTTCCCTTAGATTTTAATGTCTTAGCAACATCTAGACTAGACTCCCAAACCCTTATTTATTATATTTATATTATTTATTATATTTAGCCTTATTATCATAATTACTCTCAGGTTTTCCAAGGTAATGATGGGCGTTGCCGATTAGAGGGTATCCTTCCGGTCCAGGTATTTTCTCGGCCAATTCGTACAGCCTGCTCCTTTTGTACCTCCAGTAAAAGAAGTACCCGACGGCCAGCGGTACGCTAAGCGCCATCAGGTTCACCGTCACCGTCCAATCTTCGCCCATTTCTTCTCAATCTTATCAGACGCTCTAGAACAATAAAGGGAATTTTACACGTAGAACTACTTATATTCTATATTTGGCGGAAGTTTGCATTTATAAACGTCCCGTGAGAAAACAGTTCAAACCTGTTTTCATTGGCAAGCATTGAAATTTTAATTATGGCAGTATACATTATATTCTCACGGAGTCACCAACAGTCAATACGTCATCAAAAATGAAATAAAACCATAATATATTGCTATCATTTTTAGTGTAAATTATTATAATATAAACATTTTTAAAACAATTTTATCTTGTACTACTTTTGTTATTGTCATAGCCTTACATCGATCATTATAAATTAACAAATTACTACTGTTTTGGTGATATCATGTTCTAACTTTTACTTAAGAACGTTATATATTTGTACGAATTATTTTATTAGTTAAGAGTCGTAAAAACATTTTTTATATACACATATTGAAATTTATTAATATTATCTTTTTAACCAGTGTGCAAATTAAGCCAGCCACATAACATTTTATCAAGCATTCAAATTGAGATGGATCCATTAAAAAAATCTAATACCTGATCTTAGAAAAAATAATAATTCCAGTGTTTATTTCAATTGACGTCAATCATTACAAATTCTTACGGGAAAGAAAAATGGTGCGAATTCTAGTAGGTGACTGAATCGGATCCAGGTCAACGTTGGGCTCGAATGAACAAAACGCTGACATCGGACAATTCGCTGACAATGACGGAAAAAAGCAATATACGCAATTAAGAGCCATCGATTAATTTTTGCCACAATTATCGTTCGATTCGAGGTGGGAAAATGATTCTGGAATCATCACAAGTGAGTAAGTCATTGAGGAAGAGACAGGGATAGAGAGTGATAGAGATAGATAGATAGATAGAAAGCGAGAGATAGACAGCAAACAGAGACAGAGAAAATTTCATAAGAAGAGATAGAGAGAGATGGAGTAAGAGAAAGACATAGACAGACAAATATATCGTGAACTATGGAGAGAGTGAGGGAGAGAGAGAGAGAGAGAGAAAGAGAGAGAGAGAGTAAAAACAGCCAGAGGAAGACAAATTGGCAGGAAATAGGGAGTGAGAGAAAGAGAGAGAGAGAGAGTGAAAGCGAGAAAAAAGAGAGTAAGAGAAAAAACAGGAGACAGAGAAAGACAGATTTGCTGGAAATAAATATTGAGAAAGATAGATATAGAAAAGGAGGGAGAGAGACAGATTGGCAGGAACTAGGAAGTGAGAAAGAGAGAGAGAAAAAAAGAAGCGACATAGGGTGAGAGACAGACAGACAGAGCGAGAAAAAAATAGAAACAGAAGAGGTCGTTAGTAGAGAAATAGATAATGAGAAAGAGGGTAGGAGAGATTGGCAAAGTAAGAGAGAGAAAATGTAACAAACAGAAAAAAAATTAAAGAAGGATAGAGACAAGGAAGACAGATTGGCAGAAAAATATGGATTGAGTAAGATAGTAAGAGAGAATAAGAGGGAACAAATGAAACAAACAGAGAGTGAAAGACAAAAGAAAGGCAGCGCTAGACAGCCAGAATAGTATCTTGTCAATTATTTACGTTAACATATTAGATAATTGTTTATTAGATATTACAAACTTAAAAAACACGCTACGATATTTCCCGACATCAGTCAACAAATTAAAAAACTCTCTAGATCTAGTAAACAACAATAAACATACCGAAATAATTTATTTGTACTGTAAACAATCGAAAACGCATATTAGCCAAACTTGTAGAATAATTAAGCATTTATTAATGTAGAACCGATTATAACCAGCGTTTATATTTAATTTAACAGGATCTCAATTTTTTAGCAGTGCGTTCACGAAAATTATTTCACTGATGATTTTTAAGAAAAAGTAACCGCTTTAATTGTTAAAGAATAAAATAAACTTTGTTTTTTCAACAGTAGTTTTCAACATATCAATATTTTTTAGTTCGTAAAAATTTGACTTTTTTTCGTTTACAGCTTGGAAATTTACTGAAACCGTTTTCTAAGATGGAACTGAGATTTTTTCTTATTTTACACTCGGTATTTTTGTTTACTTTAGGTTCAACTGTATTATGTTCAGGCAGATTATCCTGCCCGTCTATTCTCGGATTAAAAGACACTTAATCCGATTCATTAGAGAAATAGAAAACAACAACCCGCAGAGGGCAATCTACTAAAAAAGCCTAAATAAGACTGCAGAAATGGCAAAAGACGAGGCAATTTTCAGTATATTCCAAAACATTGAAATTTACTGATAGAGATAGTTTATTTTTTAATTAACATTATAAAAGTCAACTATTGGTAAATATGGGTCAATAACTTAACAATTTAGCTTATAACCTTATAACTTAACATTTGAAATTGGACATAATTAGCTATAAAAAAGGTTCTTAACATTGACCGAGCCAAAACCTGTCTATAGGAGAAAATTACACATCACAATTTCACAATCAAAGAGATATTTAAAACTGAAGATTGGGTGAGAAGTTCTAACCACTGAAATGATAAGCACTTCAGCAGAGGTCACATCAACCCATTTATTTTTTAATTTACATTTTTTCTCTCTATTTTAAATTTGAGCAAAGACAAATTAAGTATAATGTACAAAAAATGACACTCCCCTTAATTTTAAATTATACATTCTTCATTCTAGAATAGGCATGTTTCATACACTGGTATGTAATGTTTATGCTTGTAAAAAATAGTGCCACGGATAGAAGAACAAACCTAAATGCGGTTTACTTTTTTACTTTTCATTTATCCTGATGCTTCAAATAAAAGCTTTTTTTTAATTGAATTGAATTGAAAAGTATCCGTTGGCCTACAAACAAATTCTAAAATTTGTATTAAGAGGAATGGCATGTCGAGCTCCTGATAAAGTATTTATTAATTTGTAAGGACAGCATCAAAACTTCTCACAAAAGCGACCAACTTGAAACACATAAGTAACTAAAGTTAACTACTACTGTCTAGTATACTTCACAAACTTAATTTAAAAAATTCAAGCAACTGTACAAATATAAATAAAATACCTTTGAGAAAAGCAATTATTCAACTTGATGAGAGTTTTTCAATTCAAATTTTAACGTTTACTCCCTTTGAGACACACTTTATAAATGTATTTCTAGCAACATGAAACAGTACTATTCACTATGTACCTATTATGTCAATGTGACTGGAAGACAATGGACATAAAACTGAAGTCAATTACGCTTTCATTAAATTTGAACACATCATTCAACTTGACCTTTACTATCGAATGTTAAAGAGTACCCATTGTCTTTATTAAAATCATTAATTATAAACTGTGTTCAATCTATTTTTAATGCTTAGTTAAATGTATTTTGTCATTGAATCTTTTGAGGCATATGGGGTGATGAATCCTTTTTTGTAATTTCAATAGTTTCTGGTCATTGATCTGTGTGTTATCTTGTAAATCATGTTCTTCAACAAGTTTATTCAATAGAATAAAAGGGGGCGTCGGTGGCCGCAAGGTTTAGTCTTTGACACGGCGCTCATCACTGTAAGGTAAAGGTCCCGGGTTCGAATCCAGCGGCCCTGCATTCGAACCCGACATACTTACAAATGGGCTTTTTTTCAAAAACACCGGCACCCTGAGGGTTTATATGACCTCTGCTGTTGCGAACCCTCGTAAAAAAAAGAAAAAAAAAAAATAGAATAAAGCTACTACTGAAGAATGGCAAAACACTGAAACACATCTGAGAGACAAACCAGCAAATTTAAAAATGAGACTGAGATTTAAAAATGTCAACTATTAAGGCCTCAATTTAATGAATCTAGCATTGATTGGGATGGGCTACTTAAGAGTAATGATTTAGATCATAGGTTATCGTTATTTTATAAAATAGTACATTCTCTCTACCCAAAAAGAAGTATGCAAACCCCAATGTCCTGCCTTATTTTTCAATGAAGTTCATAATCAATAAACAATTGGCATATAAAAACTATAAAAGAGCAATGCTACCTAGTTACTATACTAAATTTTGGACAAAAATGTGTTATGCTAATTACATTAAGTCGGTCGAGGATGAATTACAACATGATCCTAACAAATTTTTGTCTTTTGTTAGGAATAACTAACTCTCTTCCAACTTTAATGCGTTATCAAGACAAAGTTAGCAATGATCCATAAAAAATTGCAAACTTTTTCACACCAATTTAATTCAGTTTATAGTATTGACAGCAGTCCTTGCAGTGTTACTTTCACGACACATAATGCCAGGTTCATGTCAGTATTGAGATGTGACATACTTGAAGAAAGTTGTTAGACCCTACAAATTTGATTAAAAGCCCAGATGGCATCTATGTTGCAGGTTGGCCCACTATATTACTTATTTAATGAGTCATCGAACTCAGGTATTTTCCCACGCCTGTGGAAAATTTATTATGTGACGTCAATGCATAAGAATAAGGTTAGAACCTTAATCACAAATTATCGCCCCATATATATCATATCCGCAATACCAAAGATTTTTAAAAGATACTCCATAATAAAATAGTTCCTTTGTTCAAAATGTTATCAATGATGAACAGTATGGTTTTATTGTGTGTGTGTGTGTGTGTGTATGTGTGTGTGTGTGTGTGTGTGTGTGTGTGTGTGTGTGTGTGTGTGTGTGNCTATATATACAGAGTTTCTCCTGTTTCCTCCAGAAATCGAAATAGGTTACCTAAAGACTCACTGTCGTATCAAGCACAATTCTCCAAGTAGCATTCCTACACCCTCTAATATCCCAAGTAATGCCACCCTTCATTTAAGTCGGACACAAGTCAATCACTTAGTACTTCTTAAGATAATGATAGAATCGCTTGTACATAACTAAGGAACTAGGAACGGGTAATAAGCCAGAAGGCTACGGTGCTTGAAGAACAAAAACCCTAACTTCCCAGGGTCCACCATCATCATCATCAAGCAACTTTGGCCCAACTGTGTGTGTGTGTGTGTGTGTGTGTGTGTGTGTGTGCGTGCGTGCGTGTGTGTGAGTGCGTGCATGCGTGCGTGCGTGTTGATGATGATTCAGCATCAAGAACCCAAATTGTATCTGTTAGCAATGCATTCTCAAAACTCATAAATGTAGTATTTGGTTACACCAGGTAGGTATAAATGTGTAATTAATACACATTTACCTCGGTTATTCTTTAATTTATTTATTAATGATATTGTTGTTTTGTTTTTTAAACTGTAGATGCAAATTGTTTACCGATGATGTCAAGCTATATAAGTTTGTGAAAACACTTTCTGATTGTGCCATAATCTAAAGTGTGTTTAATAATTTCACCAAATTATGTGATCTTAATAAAATTGGCATAAATATTAATAAGTGCTACATCTTAAGATTTCATAGGACAGTTAATGTAGTAATTTATCCCTACTCAATTGATGACAGTATAGTTAAAGTGGTCCAATTAGTCAGAATTCTAGGTGTTCTAATTGACTCCTCTTTTATCTTTTAATGAGCACATTCAAGACATGGTATATAAAGTAAAGCTCTAAAATTATCAGGATTCATAAAAAGGAACACAAAAGATTTCAAAAATGTTAATTGTATAAAATTGTTATAGATATATCTCTAATCAGATCCGTGTTAGAATACAATCCCATAGAGTGGTCACCATTTTTTATGTAGTATATAAATAAAATTGAAAAAGATAACATCTAATCTAAGTATTATTGATTGTTAGTTGTAACATGCTTTACATTCGCAATAAATTACTAAAAATAACAAAATTTATAACAGAAATTTTATAAGAAGAATCAAACAGAAGTTTCTTTATATTTTTATGGGAAAAGTTTTAGTTTTGTGTGTAGTTTTTGTTTAGATTTACTACAAACATTTCATTTTTAAATCTAATTAATCTGTATAATTATTTCATACAGCTGAAATTGTTCAGAATCTTATTTTTATGGTAACAATTAAAAATGGTAAATCCAAAATTTGAAAATATTATCTGGAAAGCACTAGGAAATTATTTATGCTTACTAGAAACTAAAACTGGTTTTTGTTAAAGGTTATTTAATTTAAACATATGTCAATAGTGATTATAATTATAAGAAATTATTGAAACTACAGCATTTCCAAGAGAGAGAGAGAGAGAGAGATATCTAAAATTATTAAAGGTAGGATTATTTATTAGGAAGAGAATTCATCTTTTTTCCAAACTCAACAGCTGAAGATTTATAATAATAATAATAATAGATGAATCAGAAAACAAATAAAATAAAACATTTAAATTGAAATTGTTGTTAGATTAACAGTCTTTGCACACATATGGCAATTAATTAATTTTTTCCATTAGCTGATGAGCCATAACCATTTTGATTTCTTAATTTATTAATTTTGATAGACCCATGTTTGTTGCCAGAAATGTTGATTTTATTTCAAAATACAAACTATGCCAAATTAGCAAAAATAAACTATTTATTTTCCTCTTTCCAGTACAGAACCAATGAATTATAAAAATATTTTAAATAGATACTTTGAAATTGGGCGTGTTTAATTGTCCATTTTATGTTTTTGAGTTGGAGTGAATCATGAATTGACAAACTATTCATTGTTTATATTTATGCGCTTCCCACTATAAAATTAAAAATTAAACCGGGCTCAGTGCAGTACTACAGTGCACTCCCAACAAAACCAACCAGGAATTGAGTTTATCAATTAAAGCTACTATCAAACTCATGTTGTTCCAAAAAGGTGTTATAAACTCCAAAGAATGGGTCGCTTATTTTTGTTTATTTGGTTTGTAAAGAGTTGTGTTCTAGAATAGTTCAATTTGGTTTGAAAAAAGTTCAGTTTGGTTTGGGAAAAGGGTAGTCATAGTAATTTTGATCATTTGGTTCA